AGCTGGGTGATCAGCTACTGGTGCCATGTCCAGCCTTTTTCCTCCACTCTCTTTTAACGCAGTCCACTTTCCTTCCTCCGATCTTCATCTTTTTGTTTTTGATTCGTATTAATTCTCTCGAGAATAATATATTCATCCTGGTCCTTATCCTGGCTCTCGCCCTGTTCCTCCCGACCGACTGTTTTCCTCCCCTCTTTCTGCCCGTCGTCACGGTCAGCATTCAACTAGCATTGCTGCCAAGCGCCTCCTGTCTTCTTGCTGATCGTGTCTTGCGGGCGCCTGCGTCACTCTTCCGACTTGGGCTGTGACTCTCTGCTCCCTTTCCACTCCCTTGCATCTCCTCATCTCATCCTCCCTACTAGCGCCCCTCCGAGCGGATCGCCTGCGTGTCTTTCCCTCGACCTTTGGAATCCGGCGCTAACAGTCAAGCATACTTGACTTTTGGTCACTCCGCTCCTTCGTCATCCCTCTTCAGACAACTACCTCCTGCTTCTTGGATCGGATCCTCTCTACAGCCTGTCAACACCGTTCGCGTTCATGTCGAGCCCCGAGACAGCCCGTTGGGGGTGTTATTGAGTCTTCAACCGTGTTGGCTCGGCCCAGGATGAGGTGTAAGAAGCGTTTCAAGAAGGATGCTCGTTGTCGATAAATCCGATCTGAATGTCTCCCGACTCTATTGACCGCTCTCTCTGTCTTGGGTCGTCGCCTGATTTATATCTCAAATCTATATCCTCACTTCCTCCCCGCGTTGCCTCGTTATTATTCCCTACCCTCTCTTCGTCGTTCATTTCTTTCGCTTGAGACTTCCTCTCTCTCCTCCTTCACCCCTCTATATATCTCACTTACATCGATATACGAATTGTCACCGATTTGGGCAGCGTGGTGGAAAATTAAGCAACAGGAAAGGTGCCAGGGTCCAACATGTTACCCTCCGTGGCGCCATTCCCGCCAGTTCAGCCACACCACCTAAATCGATATCACGAAACCGAATCGCACAATGGAAACTATGGCTTGGACAATCCATTCGCGGCGCCGCTTCCTCAGTATGATTTCGCTAACCACAACTCGTACCAATCGGTCCCCCGGACTCGACTGCAGTATCCTCACCCCGTCCAACGTCCTGGTATTCACGACCCCACTCACTCGGCGACGCTGACATTGAACAATGTTGGGGAACATGCGTTGAGGAGGAAAACGCCAAACGGAACCCTTGCCGCTGGATACGATGGTACACCGGGGGATATGACGATTCAACCGGCGTCGAAGCATATATTGGTTTCGCAGTTGGACTCGGGCCAGTTGGTTTCCCCCCAAACCGGCTTTCCGATCGACTCCTGGCAACAACCCACCCTGGATCAATCGTCAACAGCCCAGCAATTGAACTTTCCACCCATGCATAAGACTGATCCAGGTCGCGGCAACGCTATGGCGGAGGAATTGGGACAGAATTTCAATGGGATTAGTTGGATACGGTCGTTGAACGGTGCGGCAGGAATTGACTCGATGCTCAACCAAACTTTACCGATGCAAGGATCTCAACAGCGATTCTATTGGCACAATGGAGCATATGTCCCTACGGTGCTCCCGGCTACCCTGCAGCCATGCATTGGGCCCACGGCGTCCGCAGGAACTGCACCATATGGACCGTACTGGCCGGATGGCGCTTACATTCCATATCGCCCTGCTGCGTTTCGTGAACCCCGTTTAAACCAACAAAGTCCCTTTGCGAATCCGCTCGGCCATTCCGCCCCGCAATTCTTCGATGCGGGGCAGCAAACTTTCAACATGGGTGCTATCCCATCAAATAATCTGGAGCTCGGGGATTGGAATCAAAACCCCTTGGGCGTATTTAACCCTGATGGATCAGTGAAAAACAATTTCCCTCCGCGTCATTCGGAGCAAAAGACCTTTGATACCTCAAACAACCAACGTGTTTTACCGTTCCATACACGCCAAAACAACTCTGGATCTGGTTTCTCGACACGACCACCGTTACATGAGCCTTCTGCGTCATGGTCTGGTACTTCTGGAAATGGTGGATATCAAAGCTCCGAGCCGGTTCTCGGTACCAGGGCAGGCAACGCAGAGTTCAAGGAAAAGGTACTCTCATGGGCGCATGGTGTATATGTCGATCTTCTCGCGTCTATCCACCGAGCACGCCGCAATAGTGCTTCGAATGCCACCCAAGATGGGCAGACTCAACGGATCCTGAAACCTAGCATTTACCCTAAGCCTCCACGCCAGCCCGGCCTTGATTTTTCACATTCCGCTGCACCTGAATTTTCTCGACATAATAGCTATCCCTCGGGCCAGTATGGTTTCCCCGCTCTGATATTTTGCTTTACTGCGCGAACTGATTTTGATACTAACTTAAATAGAAGTCATCGTTATGACCGCCGTTCTGCTTCACAATTCCAACAATTAACGGGAAGTAATCACCTGGTTGAAAGATTACGGCATACGGGCCGTCTGAACTCTATATCGGGCTCGCCCTTTTCTTCCAGTTCACTGAGTGAGAACACAACGGTTATCAATGCGGCATCTTCACTGGAGTTATTGTCACATCTTTGCATGGAAAGTGGTTGGGAATGGATTGATGGAATGCTTCTCGGTGGATGTCTCGCTTACGGCCTAGGCGATTATAACAAGGCGATGCGATGGTATATGAGAATCATTGCACGCGATTCAGCGTAAGTTATTTTGCCGTTCCGAATTTTCCAATACCCTAAACCTTCTAACCTGATTTTAGACACGTCGAAGCTATTTCTAATCTTGCAGCCACGCTGCTGGCCTTGGACCGGAGGGAGGAGGCATTGCAAAATTGGCTTCGCGCTGTAAAACTGCGCCCGAGCTATTTTGAAGCCGTTGAACATCTTATTGGCCTTCTATGCAGTAGTCAGCGTGGGAAGGAGGCAGTCAACATTATTGACTTTGTGCAGAACTCTCTACGGTTGTCTAAGAACGGCGACTGTTTCAAAGCCGACGAACACGCTAGCGAAACCGAGAGTGACGCCGATAGTCGAGTCTCCAGTGCGTCCGACCTGGGATCATATGAGAAGGCCGCCTTTGATTACGATGATGACTTCAGCCGGTCGGCCTTTGCTAATCGCAAGTCTGGAGAAGGCGTTGCTGCTGGCTATGGCTCTAGTGGGTACTCTGTCTCGGGCTGCGACAACGGTCGGATACTAGCGCTTGTTCACGCCAAAGGAAACATGCTATATGCCCTGGGTGACTACGTCGCGGCAGCGGTAGCCTTTGAGGATGCTATTCTGATTAGTGCGGGACGAAGGCGTCATGGCATTCAAAGTCTCATCAAGCAGATTTTCTCCGCGTTTTCGCTAGGCTCACGCAGCGGATATACGGGGTCCGACCATCACGATCCGCAGGAGACCATTTTACTCTACCCCGACAAGGCACTCCAGACGTCAAAATTGGTCTTTGCTCCTTGTGGAACACCGCCAGGGATCAAATATGTGCCCGAAGGCCTGGCAAGGAAGGCTGCTTTATCCACGACAAGCAATTCGTTACTCTCACTCGCAAAGATATACCAGGACGGCATGTCAAGCGCCCATAGTAATAATAACGGTGCTCCTCGATCTGCACCCGGTGTTCGGGACATCCTCGCTCTATACTACTTGTCGCTCTCCCTTCAGCCGAGCCCGTCTACCGCAAACAACGTTGGGATTTTGCTTGCCGGTATCCACAACAACGCGCCTGGAAAGGGTCTTGCGCGGTCCAGCGGGGAGATGCAGCATCCCGAGATTCCTGGAGTCATTCCTGGCACCGGAGTGTCACTAGCCCTAGCTTATTACAATTATGGGCTCCATCTCGACTCGCGGCATGCTCACCTATATACGAACCTCGGCAGTCTACTCAAGGATATCGGCCAGCTGCAAGCGGCTATCCGCATGTACGAGCAGGCCGTTCAGTGTGATGGAAACTTCGATATTGCACTAGCGAACCTAGCGAATGCAGTTAAAGATGCCGGAAGAGTCAACGACGCAATCTCATACTACAAGCGCGCCGTGAAAGTGAATCCGGAGTTTGCAGAGGCCGTGTGCGGGTTGGCTAATGCCCTCAACTCGGTGTGCAACTGGATGGGCCGCGGAGGTATCGCCAATGCATTCGGCTTCCTGGATCGTTGGCATGTGGACGACCAAGGCATGCTTCGTGACTCGTACGGCATTGATGCGGGCTCTGGGTGGATCAAACGTGTGGTTGACATTGTCGATCGACAGCTGAAAGAAGGCGAAAACTGGGGCCGTGGCCTCTTGACAACGAACACGATCGAGCAGCTGTGTGCGCAGTTGATTCCTGCGGTGGATGGTCGTCGTCGATCTGCGGCGGGAACCCTTGTTGCAATGCTCCAGTCTTGGGCTGGACGGAAGTGGGAGGGTTCTCGCATTGTTAAGCTCGTGGAACGCGTGATTAGGGCCATTACATGGCGATGGTATCAAGACCGTTACATCTATGGCAGAGAATACCCATCGTCGAAATACCGACGACCACAGCTACCTGGTGGTTTATCGGCACCAAACGCACCCACCGTCCTTCCGTTTCATACGTTCACCTGCCCACTTTCGGCGAAGCAGATTCGACAGATCTCTCAGCGAAATGGCCTCCGTATATCTTGCTCAACCCTGCGGTCACCATGGTTGCCGCCGACGGTTTACCCACCGCCAGCTCCTCCAAACCCATACCTCAAGGTTGGATATGTATCGTCTGACTTCAACAACCACCCACTTGCCCATCTGATGCAGTCGGTGTTTGGGTTGCACAACCCGACCAAAGTCAAGGCGTACTGCTACGCGACCACCGCAAGCGACAAGTCGATTCATCGGCAGCAGATTGAGAAAGAGGCACCCGTGTTCCACGATGCCAGTGGATGGCCCGTTGAACGGCTCGTAAGGCAGATAGTCGAGGATGGCATTCACATCCTCATTAACCTCAACGGCTACACGCGAGGTGCACGCAATGAGGTTTTCGCTGCGAGGCCAGCCCCAATTCACATGTCCTTCATGGGATTCGCGGGAACATTAGGTGCGGAATGGTGTGACTACATTCTTGCCGACAAGTTGTCCATTCCTCCGGACACCCTCTCACCAGGAAATCGCTTGACGAGGATCGAAGATCGATCTTTGGAAGAAGACCATGGCGAAGAAGCCGAAAACTGGGTGTACGGAGAGAAGATAGTATATACTCGGGATACGTTCTTCTGTTGTGACCACCGACAGAGCGCGCCTGACGCAAAAGACTCGTATATTGCTTGGGATCACGAGCAAACGAGACGTTGGCGGATGAGAAAGGAATTGTTTCCTAATCTCAGCGATGATACTATCATTTTGGGCAACTTCAACCAGCTTTATAAGGTATTTTCCCCTTTATTATCCTCGATTCATCCTGACGAACAGAGCTAATCAGTTATTTATTAGATTGAGCCCACAACTTTCCGGACCTGGCTGCGAATTCTCGCGAGAATCCCGAATGCGGTACTTTGGCTTCTTCGCTTTCCCGATCTTGGGGAGCAAAACCTCAGGGAGACTGCTGCAGCCTGGGCGGGCGAGGAGACAGCATCTCGGATTGTATTTACAGATGTTGCGCCTAAGAATACCCACATCGCGCGAGCAAAGATCTTGGACCTATTCCTTGACACACCAGAGTGCAATGCGCACACTACCGCAACAGACGTCTTGTGGAGCGGCACTCCGCTCTTGACTCTCCCGCGCTACAAATACAAGATGTGCTCTCGCATGGCAAGCAGCATCCTCAACAGTGCATTGCCGAAGAACGAGTCCGGGAACCAAGCGCGCGAGGAACTGATCGCCGCCTCTGATGAAGATTACGAAAACAAAGCAAGCCACCTATGCCGGAGTCTATACTACGAGCCCGAGAGCGATGGACGAGGACGGGGCCGGTTGTTTGAGCTCCGCAGAATGCTATTTGAGGAGCGATGGAGAAGCTCCTTATTTGACACCAACCGCTGGGTTCGTGATTTGGAAGACGCTTACGAGCGAGTGTGGAATCAATGGGTGAATGGCGAAGAAGGTGACATATGGTTGTGATGCGCGCATCTTGAAATATACCCCATGAGCGTTGATTTGGTTTGGTTTGGATTTCTTTTGTTTGCTGCTGTCGTTACCGTTACCGTCTGGGTTTGTGGGATGGAATGTTTCTGCTCGTAAAGGCTCGAGAGCTTTTTTTTTTATTTAATTTTTTTTTTTTTTTTTTTTTATTATGGTTTGTTGAATTTGTGGAACATGCCTCACACATACCATGACCCTGCTACAGCTGTAGAACAGGGATTGTATTTGCATTCTGGCGTTTGGATGAGTCTGGGCTGGTAGCTAGCGAAGCGATGGATTGTTGGGATTGGACCTGCAGCTGGCTGGTTAACTTTAGGCCTGATTCGTTTGTGTTGTTGTTCTTGTTCTGGACGATGCTTATGATGAGATATCGGTATCTTTAACACGGATAGGGTTCGGTAGGCGTTTGGGAACGGTCTAGACACTCTCCGTTTAGCATAGCATTACTAAACGAACTAGCACGATCAGTTAATTTATTCAGCCTGGTTGAACCACTCTACCTATTAGATCCGTGCTAAAGGGGAACCTTGTATACGAGACCTGGACCCGTGACCTTGAACAGTGCGGAGGTGCAGAATGTGACGTAACTGATCCCCGTTCTGATTACCAACCAACCAGCTTTGCTATAATAATAATACCCTGTCTAGGCTTTGGACAGACTACTATTTAATTGTCACTGAACACTGAGTACGTTCGAATACCTCAGTGACGTAGAATAAGAATCGCACTTACTAAGGTATTGTTGACATGGCATCCGCAACGAAAATCCATCTCTCGCCACAATCCGACACCGGCGCCTGGAGCACAGGGATAACACCGGAGTCAGCCAGGACAGCAAGCGAGGTCTTGCAGGAGGACTTGGAGAAGCATCATGTTTACTTCAATGAGATGGGTTTTCATAGTACGTTCCCCTAGTAATGGAGGATGCATGCCACGTGTGCTAGTGAAGCTAACAAACATGCATCAGACCACATCCCGCACCACATACTAACAATCTACGCCCTGGGCGCAACCCCGGATGAGATCCGCGCTGCCTATGAGCGGAATAAGGCGTATCAGCGGCCTGCACTGGCCGTGAATGAGGATGTAGTGCGTGCGCTTCACGACAAAGGCAAGTTCCGACAGGCGCTGGGCGACGAGGGCAATTATGCGAATTTCCTCGCGTTCTTTCAGCAGGAGATCCAGCGGGGTGGTGTCGAGTTTGTTTTGAAGGAGTACCTGTTTAAGGAGGATGAGAATGCGGAGAGTTTGATGGCGAGGTTGTTCGGTGGTATGTACCTGACTACCCCGTGTTTAACAAACCTTGTTCATCCATTTGCCTTTTTACAAGAGAAGGATTAATGATGATTTTATACAGGCCTCCTCCATCCGATAATCCATCTTGGTTTCGGGCTCGAGTTCAACCAGCCGGCCATCGTGGCTGAAGCACTCGCGCAGACAGCAGTGCACGATGACTGGACGGGGCTCAAGTATCTCTTCCCCATTGAGAAGGCTGCTGGTGGGATTGGCAAGAAGACGAACAAGACGATGCTGCAGCTGCTTGAAGAGGCGCGCGCAGACAAGAAACTAGCCAGCTCGGTTCGCTTTGACGACGGGAATAAACTGCGCGACGGGGTTCTCCTGCGTGCGCCGGAGGAGATGCTCAAATATGCGTCGCAGTATACGGTTTCTGAAGAGGAGATGTGGGAGCGGTTTGTGGAGATGGTGAATGTTTCTTGTGAGTCTGAACAACATCCACTTCCATTCCTGCATTTCAAAAGATATAAGTGTTGATTGACTGGTATAGTGTATTTCACCGCTGCAGCCCAACGCCCGTCTAAACAGGTCAAGTTTGACTTTTTCTACATCCACTCGGTTAACTCGTCGATCTTCTTCACTAAGATCCTAGCGCTGGGTTTTCTCGACACGCGCACGAAGCTCCGCCTGCTGGAGGCCAAAGGACGCTTGGATCTCTTGCTGTACATCTCCCGCAATGCACCGGAGCTGTATCTCGATGAAATCACCAAATACCCTGTCTCGAATGACTGGGATGCAATCACTGCCCGGGGTAATAGACATCCGCGGGATGACGGGCATCTTTCCAAGTTGATACGTGCGTTGAGGAACGGAGAGAGCGTTTGTCGTCCGTATGAGGGGAGGGCGGGGGAGTTAGGGCTGAAGATTACGGGGGATGCGTGGTTGAGGATTGGAAATATGGGTAAGATCCACTCTTTATTCCTTGGACTGTGAGATATCAGTGACTAATTGGACGTCCAGTCAATGATTCAGTGAATGGCGAGGGAGAAGAGCCTATGTGGGTTCGGTCGACGGGGTTCGACGAGGCCTGGGTGCAAATTGGGGATCGAGCCAGGCTATAGTATATGGCCTATGCATGATGAAACCCAATCTCCACTCTTTATACCTTTGATGGTTTATTTGATCATGAAATAACGACATTGATGAGTGAAATAGTTACTGGATTCAATAATAACACAACTTGTCTTCTATCGACATATCAAGTTCTTATATAAGAAGAGACAAAGCAATACTCCGTTAACCCTCAATCCCAAACTAAATATCCTTACAGGTGGTGGCAGCTAGCAGACTTGATAGCCTGTGGCTTGTCCAACTCGTGCGTGTTAATCGGAACAGAGTAGACATCTCCGTTGACACCCAAAACTGAGCAGATGGCGCCGCCGGGGTTGTAGACTTTTTCCACGACCAGGGAGTTATCTAGAGACAGTCGATGTTAATACAGGAATTTTGCTGTTATAGAGAGGTAAAAAAAACTTACCGACATCAGTGGATTGGCCGTCGGTATTGAAAGTCTGGCTGAATTTCTGGCCATCCGCGCCGTAGAAGGTGAGCGACACACTTGAGATCTGGCGCTTGTCTTCAGCAGGGGCAGCGCTGGTGAAGACAGCGAGGGAGGCGACGACGGTAGCGAGGATGGTGGAACGCATTTTGATTGTGATGGTATTAAAGTGGATTGGTTTGGGATACTAATTGATTAATTGACTGGTTGATTGATTGCTGTGTTGATGCTGAGGAAGTCAACGGACTTGAAGCGGGTTTATATACCTTTTATTGTGCATACTTTCTGGCTGCTGCTACCTCACTCTCTCCTATTTCCTTCGGTTCAGCCTATTTTTAACTCGCAAAGTCCATTGACGTGGCGTTGACAGTATACAGAACAGATACGATCAGCAACTAAGGCCTCCTGCCGGCTCGGCACAGCTGAAACCGGAGATCGTGGCAAGCGAAGTCTCCAAAGACACAGCCTGTCCTTTGGGTTCGGACTGTCAACACGAGGAAAAGTGGGTAAGTGGTGATGTAAGGAGTCCTCGTATTCTGCCTTTGTCGAGGCTGCATGTCGCGAACCGAGACTCAACAAACCAAGTTTTGGGGATGTTATGTTTCAGGCAACCAGAGCATAGCCACGGGGGGACGATGTTGCACTATTCTTGTGGAAAATGCAACATTCCCCGCGAGATCCAATTGTTTCTTTGACCAGAGTATGGAGAATGAGCAACGTGTAGATGCATCGTAAGTTAGGCACCCTGTCAGCCTTACCGCGACCACCACTACCTTAACAGCAACAAGACTTGGGCTAGGCAGCGGTCCATATGTACAAAAACAGACACCAAGTAGTCTATCTCTATCTCATTTGATCCACCCAGCTCCCATAGCCGTCATCCCAACCCGAGTCCAAAACCCTCCCTCACCTTTCATCTTCTCATCCATCTCAGCCTTCAGCACAGGGTTAATCCCCTTCTTCCTCATCTTCTCTTGTTTCTCCAGCGGGATCTTGTGCACGGGGTGGTCCTTGTCGACCTCCCGGGTCATGCTTGCTCCTGCGGACGGCGTCACGCCCCATAAGAAGGAGGGGTCAGGACGCTTGGAGGAGGTAGTTTGTTTTGGCTCTGACTCTGGGTTTAATGTTGAGGAGGAGGAGATTTCTTTGGTCAAGGCTGAGGGCTGGGATTTGGTTTTGTCTTCATCCATGGTGGGTGGTCACTGTTAGGTTGTGTTTTTGTTTAAATTGGGATAGGCTCGTAGTAATTTCGGTATTAGATAACTTAGTATATGCACATACAGATGAAATACATAGTAGTCTGTCGATGCCATGGTAATCTTTTATTTTATATATGGGAGCGTCTTGCCGGGCGCTGGCAGTGCTTGGGGGCCATACACTAAATGACGTCATATAGCTAGGACAGAGACTGATAGGAAGACAGACAGTTGAAGGATCGTGGATAGATCATGGCCGTTCAGTTTATTGACTCTTTTGCTTGTTGATGGTAGGAATTAGGGGCTTAAAGCTAACATGGCTAAAACGAATGAACAGCTTTGTCGAGCCATATACCAATACAACTTCCTAGTTTCATTACATAGATGTCTTGTCATTTTCATTTTTAAATTCATTTCATACATCGTCGAACTCATGGTATCCGGCCAAGCTTCAGATCCAACGACCTGGACAAATTCCGCGACACCAAGAAAGCCATATCCGACTTCCTTGCAAGATACTGAAGCGCACAGATACAGAACTCGCAGTTCTGCCGGAATCTCTCCGACAATACGTCCATGGGCTCACCAGGTATAACATGTATGCTTTCCAGCGAGATAGATGCTGCCTTGGCGAAACAATGGACGAGAACAACTGTCCACGGCTCAACGAGGAAAGCCACCTCGTTAAGGGAATCGTGGAAATAGCGGAGCATGACGGGGTCTTGTCCGTGTAGTGATGAACGAGCAAGGGCACCGACCGCCAATGCATTATCAATTCGTAGATTTGAGACAAAGTCTGTGGCTTGTCGAGCCTCGCGGCCGAGCTTCGAACCGAGCCGTCCATTGTCGATGCTTTCTACAATGTCTGCTAGAAGCATGGTGGCGAGATGCCAGTGGCCGTCAAGAATCACGTACCACGATTGAATACGAGGAGGGAGGAATTCGTGGTTAGCGACACAGTCGAGCATGAAGCCCTGGTATATGGAGTTCCAGTGCTGATAGACTAGGAGAGTCTTCTGAATGGCTTCCTCAAGTCGGTCAGGACTTGCCCCTCGGTATATTAGGGTTTGGAGTTGTGTGATGCGGCGGTAAAGCAGGACTTTGACGGGTGTTGCCTCGGAGAGAACGGCCGCAGCATCTTCATAGGAGCATGGCCATCTTATCTGTATTTGTGTGGATTCCTGGCGCTCAAGGGAACTGCGGAGGAAAAAGTCGCCCCATACGTCCTGCTTTTTACGCACTCCGTTTTGGGGGATATTAAAGCAGTCTAAGTCGATTTGCTCTTCCGGTTCGGCTATCAGAGGCGAGGCTGATGCAATCTGGCTGTCCTCATCTGATACCACTAATGGTCGCTGGTACATTGCAGAACTCAAGGTGTCAAACATGACCCCCAGCCAGAACATAAGACCGAGAGTAGTGCGGTGGTCCTGGCTATCGAGAATCGGATCGACCTGGGGAGACTCAGAAGCAGAAGACGTCGGCATCTCAAGTACATCAGTCATTGTCGATCCTACCGACCCCCTCCGAAGCTCCCTCACACTTGGAGAGGGAGGTGCCTCCCGCTGGAGTCTGGCGAACTTGTGTCTAAAGTTGTAAAGCTGGCGATTGGCGGTTTCAAGAAAGAAAGGCGCACCGTCAGTTTCCAACAGCTGACCTAGGCGTTCGTCTTGACTATGGTCCAAAGGACTCTGGGTTAATGAGAATATGATGTTTGCGAATATAATGCGGAAAGAGGGTATCCTTGTCGAGTGCTCTAAGGCGTGGCGCGCGTCATTCCAAACGTTTTTCCGGATAGATCGCTCGTCATAGTCGATCGGGGCGGGGACGTATAAATCTGACCCTCTTTGAGCATGCTGAGTCCACTGTGAGGCAAATGCCATGATGGCCAGGTGGAGAGCCCGGGCTGCGGTCTTGTCCTCTTCCGCACTCAACGCTCGGCCACGTATTGAAGAGGATGCGCGGTCCAACCGACAGACCCGGATGCACATCCTGTTCGACCAGCTGGGACCCCATTCCTTTCTTTCATTAAATGGAAGCAGGCTGCTTATTTTATCGGTATAAGGGCAGTTGTGCTCCGTCAACCAGCATGACAACGCGTTCTCCATACTGTCGTGGTAAATACGGATCAAATTGCGCGTCATCGTTGAACGAGCATATTTATCAGCTGTATTGTCGGAAGCGAGGCAAAAGCTCCATTGAGGATTTTGTTTCTTTTCCCGCCGATTAGACTCGACCGTTGATGAATCGGGGGGTGTGAATTCAAAAGAGGAAGAGGAAGGGTAGGATGAGTCTTGTAGTTGTTGGACCACATCGAATGTGTTGTCAAGGGCATTTGGTAGAGTAGGATCAGGGAAAACTGCTTCAGGTTCGAGTCCACTAAACGAATTACCAGGATCTTCAGTCACATCCTTGACCTGCCAGTCATTTGGAACGCTCATATTCCACGAGAATAAACCGGATGAGCCACCACTTGGGCCCAGCCCGTCTCCAATAACGGTGCCTCCTGGAAGCAAGGATGAAGAAGGGGGTACAATATTTGAGGAAGCGAACATATCATTGGGGTTGGTAGGATACCATTGCGAAGCAGATGGCGGTCCCTCGTCCACGAGGGCACTATAGGAGCCCACCATGGAAGGGACAACGCGACTTGGATCAGGAGGTGTCCCACCGCTATTACTACTAGGGTTACTAGTAGTGCTAGGGTCGCTAACAGTACTAGGTTTGCTAGAAGTAGTCGAAACGCCCGGTTTCAGTCTTGCTCGTCCTTTGGGGTCCGCACGCTTCGCTGGCTTCGAGGAGAGCCAGGTAAATGTGCACTCTTTCTTCCATCGCTTGCAGTTAGTGCAAGAATCAAAGTTACCATTTTCCCGGTTGCTCTAAGAAGTATTTGATATCAGAATTAGCCGATGATAAAAAGAAGAGTGGGAGATGGCCACAAACGGGAGCATCACAGCGCCTCTTGCCCTTGCGACAGGGGTCACAACTATGAAACTGGCGGCGACGAGGGTCATCCATGGCGAGCAACCGAGTTTTATAACGACTTCTGCATTGGGTTCCGAGGAGATGAAGAGACAAAGCGGGATCCCGACGCAGATAACTTGTCGCAGGGGCACCCAGCTTCAGCTCCTCCCAAGGAGATCACGAACTGTGCGGGGTCCGGGTGGGGAAGCCTAGCGTGGGGTCGGGGTACCGGTATGGCGGCGATACGTTCAGCTGCCCAATCTGGAGGGCGAAGATAGATTTTCCAAGGATCTTTGGGGGATTTGAAGCCTCAAAGTCGGCGGATTGAACCGATGGGCGAGAACGGTGCCGAGCCGAGAGGTGTCTTCCAAGTCTGTGGAGCAGTTGCCGGGGACGAAGGACGAGAGCGAGCGGGTGTCGGAGTGATATAAGAGCTCATCACACTAATCAGAGCTAAATAATGAGAGGTGCGTTGATTCGGCGAATGCTGATCGTTGCTCGACATCCCCGGATTGGTGGCCTCCCCCGGGCCCTTCCACAGGCCTTGATGGGACGATCCAGCCTTGCCTCCGTTCTCGGCTGGACGCGAGAGCCTGACATGTCGTGGTTCAACGGGGAAATACGATAATAACGGCGAGCCCTCCACGGAAATATTCTAGCGCAAAGTCTGTTCCTCCGACAAGACGATTTGATTTGCTCGACTCGACAAGCTCGGCACGTGGTCTCGCCGCTCCTTCCAGTTTTACTCTTCCAATTGTTGCCCCTCGCGCCTTCCTAAATTGGAATATTCGTCTTAAGCTTAGACCCTGGCGAGTACTGCAAATTTCGTTGATTCATAAACAGATACACGACCACTAACTATGAATTGATACTAGTATACGATGTGGCCTACGACTGCGAAAGCTGTACGCGGACCGTCTTGATCTCCGTGTAGTTCTCCAGCGCGTACGATCCCAGTTCGCGACCCAAACCCGACTCCTTGAAGCCACCAAACGGCATCTGGTAGTGCAGCGTATTGTAGTTGTTCACCCAGACGGTTCTGTGCGAGTCATTAGGGGAGGCTTGAGATCTGTAGTTTCAAGAGACAACTCACCCAGCCTTGATTTCGTTTGATACCCTGATGGCGGTGTTGATATTTGTGGTGTGGACGGCGGCAGCGAGGCCTGTTTTGGCCGGTCAGTCATGATCCTATACACCTACTGCTGTCAAGGTTGGATTCTCACCGTAATTCGTGTCGTTTGCCATGCGAACCGCTTCCTCTTCGCTGCGGACCTTCTGCACCGTGCAGACCGGTCCGAAGATCTCCTCCTTTACGATTGTCATGTTTTCATCAACATCCGCAAAGATCGTCGGCTGGATGTAATACCCCTCGCCACCATGTCGGCTGCCACCAGTGATGACCTTGGCGCCCGCCTTCTTTCCGGCCTCGATATAGCCCATAATCCGATCATATTGCACCTGGGACACCTGTGGGCCCTGGAACGTGTCAGGATTGAACGGATCCCCAACCTTGTTCTGCTCAGCACGCTTCTTGAACAGCGATAGGAATTGATCATAGACAGCTTCGTGCACAAGGATCCTCGAGCCCGCACAGCAACATTGTCCATGGTTGAAGAAGATCCCCAGGTTAACCCATCCAATCGCCTCTTCCAGATTTGCGTCGGGCAGAATGATATTCGGCGACTTGCCACCAAGTTCGAGCGTAACCTTTTTCAAGTTGCTCTTTGCTGCTGCCTGCAGAATCTGTCGGCCAACAAGGGTCGACCCGGTGAAGGCGACTTTATCGATATCCATATGCGAAGCAATTGCCGCACCTGCGGTTCTTCCAAATCCTGAAATGACATTAATCACGCCTGGAGGGAACCCCGCCTCCTTGATCAAAGCAGCCACATACAGAGCTGATAGTGGCGTCTGCTCCGCAGTCTTCATAACAACTGTATTTCCCGTCGCAATGGCCGGCCCAATCTTCCATGCAAACATCAGCAGCGGGAAGTTCCACGGAATAATCTGCCCACAGACACCGACGGGCTCGTGCCTTGTATAAGTCAAGCTGCCCGTGTCTGTGTCAATTGTCTGACCATAGATCTTGTCTGCCCAGCCGCCATAGTAGCGAAGACATCCTGCCGAGGCTGCGACATCACCTTTGGCCATCGACACACCCTTCCCATTATCGAGGGCTTCTATGGCGGCTACCGTGTCGCTGTCACGTTCTAGGAGGTCGGCGAGGCGGGTGAGGAGACGGCCGCGGTTGGAAGGGGTGACCTGCTTCCATTCGCCTTCAAGTGCTGCGCGGGCAGCTTTCACGGCGATATCAACGTCTTTCTCTGTGCCTTCGTGAACGGCGACGATGGGCTTCTCGTTGTGAGGGTTGATTGTTTCGAAGGTTTTGCCGCCAACGCCTTTGACGAATTCGTTGTTGATGAATCTTGTACAATGTTAGTGACGCTTAGAGTGGAATTGTGCGTGGTAATCATACAGTCCTAAGGGCTGCTCATACGAGACCGCAGGAGTCTTGATAGTTTGGGACAAAGCCATGGTTGAGATGAAATGATAAGAGTGTGAGATTGGTAAGAGACTTGAACAGTGTTTCCCTCATTCGTCGGGACAACAACGGCCTTTTAGATGCCTGCTAGACCGAGTACTCGAGACGAGAATCTTCGGGCAAGATGCGACAGTGGGGGCCCGTGGGGTATGTGTCGATAATGGCCGGTCCGGTATTTCTCGCTGCATACGGAGCCGCCTACTAGGTCTATTCTCAGTGGTTTGAGCTACGGTATCTCCGCATCATTTCCCCATACACTCGCATCTGCCCCGTGTTTTCCCCAGAGTCCCTTGCTCCGCTTGAGTGCGTTTCCCTTTGCCCGGGGTGCGGATGCGGATGCGGATCCCAGGCGTTCGCCTGGGGATCTCCGATGTTGCATGCATGGAGCATAGCTCGTGAGCTAGCTTCGTCCGCATCACGGGGAGAAACATGACAGCCACTGGGGCACCTATGCATCAGGTGTATCTACCGTTGGATTATGATGATTTGTTGATCGGTTGTATCCTTGATCGCTAAGGCATGCGAGTGATGCTACATTTGACGCTAACCTTCACTATCTCTTACAGCAGCTACATCTGGTTCTTGGTGGACTGGCTTTAATTCGTGTTTCATACTGACCCTGGGAAATCTGAAGCTGAAGCTTAAACTTTCGTTCCTGCAAATTACAAGATCTCCAGGATCTCATATTGATGGCGATCCGTATTCCCTGACCTGAACATTCTAATGAAGGTTCGATGACAGCTAGATGGTATGGAAACAAAGCTTTGATAAAACCTACAATGAGGAATGGAAGTTTCTTGGATTAATCAGATTCAATTGCAATTCGTAAGATATGTGCATGTTCTGCAAAAAACGAAACGAAACTCGTAATCTCAGCTATGTACAACCCTCCACAATTCCCACTGCGGCAATGCCGCATCAATGATAATAGATATATTCAATCTGATTTGGGGTAAACTTATTTCGTTAATCCACGGCTTATTCGGGAATCTCGAGCACGTAACGACCGGCAATCTTTCCTTGTTCTGTTATCTGTTAGTACAACCGAGCCAACAGAAGGGCAAACAGATATAGTAACATACCCATCATTTCAAAGATCTTAGGAAGATCCTTCAGAGGAGCAAGCTTGAAAGGCGCCTTAATCAAGCCACGAGCAAAGAAGTCTAGAGCCTCAACACCGTCCTGCTGGTTTCCGACGTAGCTACCCTTGATGGTGATCATGCGGACAACAGTGTTGATAACGGGGGCCTTGAGGTAGGCGTCCGGAGGCAGACCAATCGCGACAAGAGTCCCGCGGGAGCGAACATACTCCGAAGCCTGCTGGAAGGGCTTCTCGGAAACAGCAAGCAGGATGACAGCGTGGGCGCCGAGTCCGCCGGGCGTGGCGGCCTTGACATCTGCCACGACGTCCTTGGATTTGGTGAAGTCGACGAAGGTCTAGACGGCTTTGTTAGCATTTCCATATCAACAAATGAGTGGCCGTAGGTGGTAATACCTCAGTTCCGAGCTTCTCACACATAGCTTTCTTCTCGTCACCACCATCAATAGCTACAATTCTCAGCCCCATAGCCTTCGCATACTGCTGCGCAAGCGACCCAAGACCACCACCGGCACCAACAATTGCAACAGTCTGACCAGGACGAACACCCGATTCCTTCAATCCCTTGTAAACCGTAATACCAGCACAAAGCACAGGCGCCGTCGCATCAAGCGGTACACCCTCGGGGATCTTTGACGCATGCGTCGCCTTACCAAGCGCATACTGCTGGAACGTCCCATCAACCGTATACCCGGACAACTGCGCATTTGCGCAAAGCGGCGTGTCGGATTGTCTGCAGAACTCGCACTCCCCGCAAGAGCCGTTCAGCCACTTAATACCCGCCTGGTCGCCGATCTGGAACTCGGAGACGAGCTCGCCCTTGGCGACGACGATGCCGGCTCCTTCGTGGCCGCCCACGAGCGGCATTTTGACGGGGATAGGCCAGTGGCCCATCATGGCGTGGAGGTCAGTGTGACAGACTCCGCTGTAGCGGATCTTGACGAGGATCTGGTCGGGCCCAGGCTTGGGGACGGGGATTTGTTTGTAGACGAGGGGGCCGCCGACTTTTTCGGCGACTTGGGCCCATTGAGTTTGGGGGAGGGACATTTTGGTGTTTGGGTAGGGGGTGAGAGTTTTTGAAATGTGAGTCTGAGTCTGAAACTGAGATTGAGAGACCGAGATAGATTGATGATTGAGATAGTGAGACTTGAATCGATGACGAGGGTCCTTATATAGTCCTCAGCCCATCGGAATGGGGTCTCCGGGGTAAGGGAGGCGCGGCGGGGCTTCTGATCTCCATTCTCGTCTCAATTCTCGCCCCAAGTCCATCTGTCGATGCTATTCGGGCGACCGGAATAGAACTCGATGTATCAGACCAGACTCTGTGGTTCTGGATGGCCTCGAGTACAGAGGCGTGGATAGCTTGCGGGGAAAGCTTTGGGGGGATGATCCAATGGACAGCCCTCACTCCGCGGTGCTGAGAGTGCGGCTCCGCATGGTCCAGAGAGAGACGCAGCCGATGCGGAGGCCGATCGTCAGATAACTCAATTCAGGTTCCAGTCTCAATTCTCAATTCACGGCTCACCGAAGCCGAATACAGAGCTGGTCGGGTTGTCTGTCTCACTTTGTGCTCTCTTTGCCCTGTGCACTCGGGAGCATTTCTGGTCTTTCCATCAGGTCCATGTAGAATATCCATTGCAAAGCATAACTTTTCGGAGAGGTCGCTTCCAGTCCGCCAGAGCAGTTTTGTTGACATTCGTCTCCGCTGAAGGTCAAGCTTTGCTAGGAAAGGTGGCAGACATCCCTGCATCCGGGGCGCGAGCTTCGTTGGAAAGTTGCATTCTGAGGGCAAAGCCAACCTGTCGCCACAGACCAGCTCCAGTGAAAAATATGCTTTACCTTCATCGCCCTATTCTTAAATTCTCCTGGAACAAGGACCTTGGTAGAGGCTGGGTACCTTGGTAGAGGTGGTAGAGTCGATCCAAGGTTGATTGTTGAAGGTTGAAAGATACTATTGTGGAAGGAGCGAAGGGACCATGGAACACTGCCTGCCATTTTAGAACTTTGCCTGGAACAACCATCTGTTTGCAGGCCAGTCTTCCACATCAACACTCCATGAAGGGTGATTATTTGTTACTTGATGGTACACTCAGCTATACAAGAATAAACACAAGCCATCAAGGTATCATTAAAGCAGAAAAGCCAACGCCAAATCAAAGCAATGCCAACCCATACTCTGCACTCCTCGCCATCCTTTTCACCCCCTCAGTCTCCTCATCCACCCCACAGGGGAAGAACGTCTCTGACCAGCCACTACTGATCGAAATCCCATGGCTTGGACTCCTGCCATGAATACCACCATGAGAGCGCCCATCGTAGCCATCCCCATTGAAAATCTGTGGCTGGAACTCTACTCCTCCGCACATATTCATATCCTCTGGAGTCTTAGGACCTGCGTCCTGCTCAGACAGGGGACTTTTCAACTGGTTGGAACCCCCAATGGGACTGATATTCCCATTGTCATCCCAATATAGTCTCATCGTGGCTTGGTTCTCGAGGCCCGAGCTTGGACTCTCGCCGTGGAGAAGTGTTGGGTCGATGAACTCAACAAAGGCAGAGTCATCTGTGGGCTCAATAATTTTATTAATCTGCTTCTGCGGTACTCGTGCAGACGGGCCGGGCTTCTCCAGGTCACAGAGAAGGTACTTTGGTGGCTTTCGGTTTCCGTCGACGCAGGATAGACCGATTCCGCGCTTCACGCATTGGTTGCATGGTCGTTCGTTTCCTGTTTACCTGTCAGTGACCTACCTGGGATGAAAAGGGTAGTATGAGGAAACGTACCGCATGTTTTGTGTGCGCGTTGGCAGTTCGAGCAGGATCTTCGGGCCTTTTTTCGGGGACGCGACTTTTCGAATGCGTTGGATGTGATGGGCTTTGGATCCTGTGTGCTCGAGGCTCTGAAAACCGATTCGGCCATTTTAAACAGTGCTTTTGCAAGGGAGGATGAAGCGACGATCTTTGCGAAGTGGTTATATGCCAAGGTTGACAACGTTCTTTCAGTTATATTGTTTCTACTTAAGACTTGCTAACTCGAGGATCTCTTCCCTTTGCCCTTTTCCAGTCTCCAGTCCCAGTCAGTAGATGTCGTTCAAGCTTCCCACCGACCGAGATTACCTCCAGCTACCCCGGGTCCGCATGCCACTGGATACACCACCACACACGACCAAGCTGCATGAACGCAACCAAGTCCAAACCAGATCGCCACCCCCGGATCCCCGCAAGAAGCAGTGCGGGAGCCGGGTGCTCGCCCAGACCCAAACTTTGACCCCTAGACCGCATACGCAGTCCAACCAGGATCCATGCGGCTCCGCATACACCACTCGGACCCGCATAGCAGGAGCCAACTCAACAACTCAGCGAGAAAAAAAGGCGGAACAAAAGGGAGACGATCGTCATGGCCGCAGGTCATGTGCCTTGGTATCTCACGCAAACGGACACCTACACCATGCTACTGCGCTGATCGGTTTCGGCTTGCTGGTTGCTGGGCTGCTGTCGAGCTTTCTCCGCATTTCAGGCCCAGCCCTAACTTTGGCTGGCTGGCATGCCCTTGCTCCTTTCGTTCCGCTCTTCCGTGCCAGTCGACTGGTTTTATTGGCTAATGAGTGCCCAGTGGACCACAAGTCTTGTAACTTGAGGAGTTGCCTGCGTAGTCACTAAAGTCCAGAGGTAGCTAGGGTTCCAGCTTCCAAGGGGTTCGTTACTTCACGAGAATGACCGGGGGAGGATCGTCTTCCTTTCTCCCGTGTCCAATTCAAGGGCTATGTTGTGATTTGAGAGTGATATAAAAAGATATAAAAGTGCATACAGCCAAACCCCCCCGGTTGTTGAAGGCCGTAATGCTCCGTCCTTTGGAAATTAATCCCCAAGTTCTTGTATATTCCCTTCTTCCCTTCTATCCCCTTGCAACTGCACTTGACACAGTACAACATGGCCAGCGACTCCAGCCAGAATGGGGAGACAAAGGGTTATTCCCAGGGTCTTTCCACAGTCCCTACCCATGTCACCCTGTCCGCCGACCAGTTCGAGAGGCTGTACTTGACGCCCATGACGCAGCGCCAGTCCGGCCTGGCTAAGCAAGTGGGAAACCCGACACCATTGTAAGTCTACCGTGTTATAATGCAGTTGCAGAGAACTAACTGATTAGGGCACTCGGGGGTTTTGTCATCACTACAACTCCTCTCTCGTGCTGCTTGATGGCCTGGAGAGGAGCGACTGGAAACGGAATTGCATTCACGTAAGAACCCACGTACCAAAGTCTCTATTGAAATTGACATTGCCATCCCCTGACTGACTTACAACAAAAGCGGCCCCATCATATTTCTTGGTGGCCTTCTCCTGCTCATCACGAGTGTCCTCGAGTTCATCCTTGGAAATACCTTCCCCTGCGTTGTCTTCGGTACCATCGGTGGCTTCTGGTTTGCGTTCGCAGCCACCATGATTCCCTCTTTCAATGCAGCCGGTCAGTCCCTGAATATGCCCTTACCAATTTGCGTAGCCTTTCTACTTACAAAATTTGACTCTACTTATAGCCCCCTACTCCTCGTCAGCAACCGATACAAGCGCCGGGCTCACCAGCGCTGGGTTCATGAATACATACGGTAAGACCCAAGCTAAATTGCCCTTATGGTTATGGAATCCGCATATCTTTAACTAATGACGTTGATAAATACAGCATTCCTTTTCATAACCATGGCCGTCCTCATGCTCATCTTCATGGTCTGCGCCCTGCGCACAAACGTCGTCTACACCCTCATCTTCCTCTCCCTGCTCATGGTCTTCCTCATGCTCTCCGCCGGCTACTGGAGACTCGGCGAGGGCGAGTCCGACGTTGGGAATCGATGCGTGATAGGCGCCGGGGCATGTCTCTTCGTCGCAAGTCTACTTGGTTTCTACCTCCTGATCGCGCAGCTATTTGACTCCGTTGGGCTTCCGTTTAAGTTGCCAGTTGGGGATTTGGTTGCGCTTTGGCCTGACCAGACCAATAAGTGAGTTTATTGCGCTTCCGTTATCTATTTATTGTACTCGATTGGGTATGTACAAGGTTGCTAGGTACTGACTGTACGGAAAGGGCCGAGCAGCGTGATGTCGAGGCTACGGCATAGATGTCTATGTCTTGTGGTTGAGGTGCAGATAGGTGACTGGCTGGTTGGATAGGGTTGTTGGATATGCAGATATTGACGGACATCTTGATTGGATGTCTTCTGCGGTGGCTGTTGGGATTATGGGGAGTATATTTTTGATTATTTCACATTTCGTTTCGCCTGATACACTGATGCGAAGGGATAGCTAAAACCCCATAGCATGCACCTGTTCTTAGAAAAGCAAATGGTGAACATAATTATCCCACGCTTTTGCGTGCGTCAGGATTGAGCTTATATATAGCTGTTTTAGTGCAAACAATGCTTTTCGGCGTATTAATATTATAATAGTCGCAGTATATCTTGCGTCCTCTGCGTCCCTTCAAGCGATAAAAAATAGTAATTCTATCTTTCAACATTGGCCTTGTCAACCCCATTTTTTATACCCGTTTCATTTCAATTGCGATATCGATTCGGAACACATAAAGGAGCACCAGGGTTGTAATTTTTATGAGATCCCGCACAAGGAAAGCAGCCACTAGGGCAATTTTGGAAGTCATACGATGGCGGATAACAGCTGCAAGTGAAGCGGTGCGATGGACGGAAAGTAGTGGGAGGGTCAGATCAAATTGCAGAATGTACGTGCCATCAACGAGGCCAGCAGAGAACTGACATTGCTCTTCAGGGCCAGTTTCGCACCTTGAAACGAATGGAATGGTGACCGTGGTTCGCACGGTCGGCTTCTGACCTTGTTTCCGTGGTTTAAAGTAATGAAAAGCGTTCATTTTGAGCTGCTCAAAGATATTCCGCGAAAGTTCCCACAGAGTGTCGTTCAACGACTCTTTTCTGGCCCTAGGCCGATTTAATCCGGTCCTCGAAGAGTTATCGCCATCAACTTGAGATCGGCCGGCCTCGTACCGGCCAGAGTTTACAGCGCCTCGTCTTAGAGGAAGGTTTTCTATCGTCGGTATAGGAGCAGGAAATGGCATTTTTGGATTGTTTAGCGGGGCGCTCAAGGCTTCTAACTCTTGACGCGTTAATTGCAGAGGAAAGAACCGGGGTGGAGCAACTTTTTTAGTTTCCCACGACTGTTTTGGTCGCGCTGGCCGACAGTCCGGACCCTGGTCAGTGGCAGGATGCTCAATGGGTTGGTTAGAGTCCCGACTCGCTCGTAAGGGTAAAGATCGATAAGGGGTTTCTGGCAAGGCTTTCTCGTCACCTCTGCCAGGCCTCTTTGCTCGAAAGGGCGGCTGGGCGTTCGTGGCTTCTCTCTGAAGTGGATTATCGATACAAGAGAGAAAAGAAGGCTTGGGCGGTTTCGGCGGTCTCCATGTTGCTTCACTGCCGAAGGAAAGAGAGGTGAGTTGGCTGCCGTCTGATCTGGCGGTATTACCCAGTCGACCGAGCGCACGCTTATCAGACTTTATGGGAGAGGGATCATGCCGCTTATATTTCTCGAATGATCCAATCTCAGATTGATGGCCACTCTGAGATATCGGTGTATTATGTGGATTCAAAGGAATTCCACGGCTATCGATGAAAGGGTCTTTTTCGGAAGCTAAGTCTGGATATAGTCTGGGGAAAGTGAAGAGAAAGTCATTGTAGGCGTCATCACTGCTGAAACGGCCAAACTTGTGCGAACGATTCTGAGGCATAGACACCGAAGCGGATCCCAGTGGTTCGGAAAGTGTGGTCCTTACGTGCCAACTTCGAGGGCTGTCAATAGAATGGCCGCCGGGGACGTCGTTTTCCTCTAAAGGTTCTCGTTCATGTGCCAATGGAGTCGTGATATCCGTTGCCAAGTCTTCAATCATGGTATAGAGTGGCGCTCGCTGCGTTGAGAGAATTAAGTGATCGAACACGATGAGAAAACGGGTCCCTAAAAAGTAACTCAGATTGCGCATTCATGTAGATGTCAATTTAGAGAAAACCAGAGAGCTCGGGGTTGAAGCGAACTGCACCGAATTATGGGGGAAATCATGATGTGGAGTGTAGCCGTTGAGGAAAGAGCAACCAAATTCGTGAATCAAGGCAAGTGCCTTAAACTTAAAATTCCCAGTCGGCTATGACCAAACAGAAAGAGTACTGTTATTGAAAGAAGCGCAATATGACGAAAATGTCGCAAAAAATTGCTATAATTCTACAGGTTCAGAGTTGAAAGCGCGAGTGGATATGTACATCAGGTATCTATTTCAGAACGGCCTGCAGGCTCTCAAGAACCTATGAGAGGGTCAGCTTGTTCAATAACGCGCCTGCTGACTTGTAGTTATCTATCACTCACCTCAAGCTCAATCTTGGCCTCAGCAATGTCCTGCTCGCTGCCGTTGCCACCAGCAATCTTCTGGGCTTCGGTGATCTGGGAACGAACACTCTGGAAGTGCGAAGAAAGTACGTTAGCCTTGTTGTCCACCGAGACCGGGTTTGAGAAGACCTACGTCGATGCTGAAGTCCTCAAGGGCGTAACCCTCAACAGCGTTGATGCTCAGCTGGGAGTCGGGCTGAACAACGGCGAATCCACCAGACACTGTCCGAGACGCATGTTAGTTATATCACTTATTTCACACATGTTGTTTGATTCGACACATATCGGGTGAGATTTGATCTGTGTCGGCGACCGGACGTACGGAAAAACTTCTTGCTGGCACCGCCCTCCTCCATGATCTCGACAAGGCCGGGCTTGAGCTGCTCGATGGAGGGAACGTGGTTGGCGAGGACACCCATCTCTCCGGACTCAGCGGGGATGTTGACCTGGACACTGAATGATAAGGTTTGTCAGTAAGGGCGCGATGGAAGGGTGAACCCGGGCCGACGGGCGCAGGCGCAGGTTCAGGAGGTAGGTAGTTAGGTGACATACACGCCAGCGGAGCGGAAGATGGTCTGTCGGCAAGACTCTTTGTTAGTACTAAGGCTTTATCAAGGTATTAGAGGACGTCCGCCGGAGGGAGTCGTACCTGGTGAGGGAGAGCCAGGGAAAGCTTGATCTTGTCGGAGACGGCCTCAGCGTAGCCTCTGCGCTGGATAGGCACGCGGAAGGCAGCGGGACGAGCCCGGAGAGCAGAGCGAGCGAAACGGAGGGAGCTCATCTTGCAATTGAGGGATGGGAAAGGTGGTGATGGGTCAGTCTCCCGCTTTGGACTTGGAGTTGCGAGGTGCAAAGGTCGACGTTCGGATGCCGGTTGTTCCCTAGCGCCTTTCCCGCTCACGTGATGGACAAATAAACACCTGGAGCCGGACTGCTGTACCTCTACAAGTACGTAGTGAACCTGAATTCTGAAATGGCGGAGAATGCCAATAGACAGAATACTTTAAAAATATTTTCGAAAAAAATTGTTTTTACACGGTCTGAACTTGCTCTACTCTTTCCTGGTACCCGGCTGCCTCGCCGGTCATCGGAATGTGAGCGGCTAGGGCGAGAAGACTTGCCGCTCAAGATACTGCCTCCAGCCAAGTCTGGCACTCGCCCTTGTGCAATTCTCTAATTATCTAACGTTTGTCCCAACCTTAGAGCATAAAATAACCTCCAAGCCGATATTGATATCTCGTCTGGTCACGTGTTATATAGGTCACGTGATGTCTTTACCCAAATCCCTTGTTTCCACTGGTCCCCCATCACGAATCTGCGTACGAATAATTGTAGTATAAAGATACTGGGAGAGCTATCGCCTGTTATGTTAGTGACCACTATTCTGTTCTGTAAGGCCGTAGATACTTGTAGTGTACCTGTTGTTGGTGTTGGCCTGGCAGGATGACACTAACCGTGCTCGGTAAGCGAAATCCCACACAAACTGACCGCCGAGCCCTAGCCGACCCTCATTTGGGCCTCTCAGCCATTTCCTCAGACGTTGGATAACCTCACCCGCCAACTCACATCCGTCTTTCAGTCGCGACGAAACTGTCAAGATGGCCAGTACGTTTGCCCCCCTGATGTTGCTGCATCTGCTGTCCAAAAAATTGCCCCGAAATTCCATCCGGGGGCGTCCTCGAATGATCGAAATTCATGGCTAACGCTTTTGTCCTTTTTTAGAGTCAAAGAACGCCTCCCAGCACCACAACAGCCAGAAGGCTCACCGTAACGGGTGCGTACGAACCGATTCCCTTTCGCGTTTTGCAGGTTTTGGTCGAGAGTGGCTATTTTTTGGGCGTTGAGCGACATATCAGCATACGATCCAACACACCTCGATCCTTTATCCGCATCACACGAGCCTGAAGAAGAAAAAAGGACTATATCGCTAATAATTCTTTCGTCAACAGTATCAAGAAGCCTAAGACCAACCGTTACCCCTCTCTCCGTGGTGTCGACGCCAAGTTCCGCCGCAACCACAGACACGCTCTTCACGGTACCGCTAAGGCTCTGGTACGTTGGACCGCAAAATTCATGGCGACATCAGACGGTCGTATCAGTGGACGACTTGCTAACGAATCCTACAGAAGGAGCGCAAGGAGGGCAAGCGCGAGGTCGCATAAGTCATCTAATATAGACCAAAATGAAAGCGATTTGAGCTGGTGATTGTTTTGCATTTCTTCACGTGCAATGAACACTCAACCTTCCCCCCCAAGAACGTCTGTCGAACGAGCCGGTTGTCAAATAAACCAAATGGATTCGATTTCGTGACGCTTCTCTTTGCTTCCACCTTCTCTGTTGTTCCTGCTTTACATTGCGATGGACGTAATGACCCGTTCGATTCGGATGTAGTCGAGACCCGATTCCACTACAGGCATATGTGTGTACAGCGTCGTGCTTATATCTAATGCGCGCTTGCTGAAGGATTATTCTAACGTGCCGAGAAAAGATCCCATGCCCTCCTATTACCAAACACCTTTTCTCTTTCTCTCCCGTGGCGAAGAGGTGCATGGACGGAGGGCTACATCCCCGTAGACTAGGATAGGTGTAAACTGCAATGATATATCCCTCAATTCTGAACATGTTTGCCATCAAACCTTATAAGAGTGGTGGAATGATACCGTCTCCCTTTCGACCCTTCAAAGAGTGCATGCAATTCACTGTACCACGCAGGATCTACCAAGTCCCTTATCCATGCATGGACATTCAATAACGCAACCATCAGCCCATGTCCGCGTCCTGCCCCGAAAACATAAATCGTCCTTCGAAGACATATCGTTATCTTCTAAGAACCAAAAAGAATCATGGGTTCACCAGAAGAATAGATTATAGGTTATAAGCCTGTATATCAGGACCATAGGAAACTCGCCCAGCGAACATCAATCAATTAACCGCAACTAGCTCCATAACTGCGAGCCGATAAATAGTCATCCAAACATATATGCTTTTGAGGAATTGGAATGAAAGACTTTAGAAACGGTTATCCATGAAATATCGATAACCCCCCTGTTCTTCCACAACAGTACCTTACGCAGATACAGTCCATTCCATCCCGCCTTACATATCAATCTCAACCAAGTGTCCCGTCTGGATTGCAATAATCTGCATTCTCGTTATGCGTGAACGGTTATAAAACAACCCCACTGGAACGACACCACTAGTACGGATACTCCGTACATATGCTGACACTATGCAGAAAGCTGTGACACCATGGAATCCGGACCCAGCCTGGCTCTGAACAGAGTTTATACGGGATAGCCTGGTTTACTCGAGGGGGAGAGAGAGGCCGGACAGGCATCATCCACGAAGAGTACATGGGGTTAGTCGAGGTCACTGTTTTGTCGACGTGCTCAAGTTGGTATGCTCCATGGGCCAGATAATCAAGCCTGTTTCGCAGCTTACCTACGAGAATGTAGGCTACGTGACACAGGCGCAGAAATAGTCGCGACTTTCAAACAAACACAACAGCCTTTTTAAGGTTTACTGGGAATCACCAGATTATCCAGCCTCGATATAGAGTTCCTCGGCCTTCGAACCCGACAGTGTGCATTGATAATCCGGAGGTAAGTTGGGTAGGACAAGGCAGGGATATGACGCACTGCAGAGTGATGGTGCTCACTGCTCAGACCCTTCGCTTCGGGCATTGAAACCGTCTCCAGTATGATACCCGGACAGGATGGTTAGAGTGGTCGAAGAGAATACCAGTGGCAAGACAGCAGCAGCTATCGTTTCCGGTGTTCGTGCTCGTCCTCCCCCCCCTCAAGTTTGTGAACCTTCAGGTATAATCGACCAGTCACTACATCGTGTTCTCGCTTCATGAAACGCCGGATTGCATTATGGCGTGGAAGTTTGCGCATCGCATCCAACGGCCATACACCGTCAGCACTGCAGGGAGCGCAGCGCAGTCAGATACAGTAGCCCAGCCTAGCCCTCCTTAATTGCCAATCCTTCTGACCTCAAGAGAGCACGCCCATGTTTTGAAGGAGCTTACCAAGCCAGTCACAGTACGGATTCATATCAACACGAAACGAACACGTCAAGCAGGCTATCCCTGCCCAGTGTCCACAATCGAGATATTCAGACCCAACTTGATAGACAGACGGGCAGCATTCATCTTCCAACGGACGTATCAACGCAGAGTATCTCAATCCATGCCGTCCTGCTGACGAGAGGATCACATCCCTGCTCTGGACACCAAATCAGGAAAAGTGAATAACCGGAGTGAATTCCCGATACTGAAAAAGGAAGGGCGATACTAGTCCAATTTCCAAAAGAAAAAAAAAAAGCCCCGAGCACCAGGGGAAAAAAGCAACGAGGGCACCGAAACGCGATCCTGGAGTTTCGTTTGGGCCCAATGATCGATGAAGGATGAACGATCAGCGCTCTGCTTCCAGAACGATGCTGCTGGGTATCCAGATCGAGATGTCTCGTTACGAATCCGGTAGTCCCGTTGCAGAAGGAAGGGAATGTCTGCTTAGAAGGACTCTGAGAAGCAGGGGCTGGGCGCGCAATTATTCGTTGATTAATGAGTTGAGGTCTTTGGAGGATTAGGAGCGAAGTTGACGGCTCGAACGAAGCTTTTCGAACCATGTGAGGGACGTTTTAGGTCGGCGCTTCCCTATCACGAAGTCTATCATGAGAGGTGTCTAGCCGTCTAGCTCAGCACCACTGCTCTGCTCTGTTTCTCACCTCAGCGATTGAACAGTCGACTTGCCACTCTCATCGAGTTGGGAGGATGGGTACGATTCAAACTCTCGATTCGCATCTGAGCCGAAGATCATGGCTTCTAACGAAATTCTTGCATTGCATTGCTTGCCTCGCCCCTGCCAGCTGCCAGGAGTCGACTCGGACACGATCCAGGCGCTGCTCACAGGAACGGGGTGCTGAGGCATTTTCCTCAATGACCTGCAAGGCTAGAACCATGCTTACCAGCTGGACGTATCTCAGTGCATGAAGCAGCAATTTCCTGAATAAGCTACTCATGGATCTCTCTCCCCCCCTCTCTCGGAATTCGGGAAGCGTCAGCGAAGGAGTTCAGCAAAGGAAAAGAAAAAGAAAAGAAACTCGGAAAAAGTAAACAAGCTGTCGGTCTAACGGGTCATCCCTTGACCACTGACAACCGTTAATCCAGCATGCAGGGAGAAAGATGCAAAACGTCGGAAGCTAGGGATGCAAATGGCTGGCTGGTGCCTATCAGTTCACAATATTAATTGGCTGTGGCACATTATTATCGGTTGTCGATGTAATGGTACATATGCACATGCACTCAAAGCCGAGAGGGGAAATGACAACAGCTTCTCCATCACTCCATCATACTTCTCTAGTACCACTCAGGCATCGGTCGAGCAATGCGAGTGCGACAGCAACGGCTGGCTGGTATGTGGCGGGCACACGTGGTGATTCTCGACTGTCGAGTCAACAAGCTCGAACGTTGAGGAGTTCGTGCTTTGACCTCCAGTGCCATCCGGCCTGTTTCCAATCACTGGACTCCACGGAGATACCTTGTTACCTTGCAAATACACACCAGCTGATGTAGGGGAAAACACCGCGAACTATGACCCTGTCAGATAGAATGGCTGCGGGGATCTTTCAAATTCCAAAAGGACATTCCGAACCCCGGCCTCCATAGCTTGGGCCTGCCATCGTATCAATTGTCTGAGAAGAGGAGGGGAGAGAGTTGAAGTGGCGAGCTACCTTCGGCTTGTACAACTTGGCGAGCGACAGACCCCCGTTCGAGTCGATTATTGGGGACCACGGACGAGGCCTGTGCTCCAGAACGTAACACCAATTTCAAGTCATTGAACCGCCCATTCGACTCGGCTATGATTCAGAAGAGTGCAGAACACTCTATCCGAAAACCAAAAATATATGGTTCATACTGTTGAAGCCAATATGGGAGAGCAACCATGACATCTCCCAAATATAGTAGGAGATCACCTGGCCAGTCCGGTCCTGGTTAGCACCATTACCGGATACAGACGTACGATACCATCAATACGTATGTAAAATACCGAAAAATTCAACTCTCCTTTTTCGACGATCAGAGTGGAGCGGCAGCGGGTACGCTAACCGCAAAGAAAAGTAGCGTAATCGACACCGAGATCGTCCGGGACCCAATAAAACGGCTTGAAGACAGTCCCTCCCGGCGCTAACGCAATGAGGGGAAGTGCTCGATGTCAGGGCCCACCTTGGTAGTCCACGACTCCACGAAATCCTGCTCGGAAAAGCTTCGGGGATTAGGGTTAAATTTTGCGGAGGAAGGCAGAGGTTGTAACGAGCTGAGAGACTCCACGCGTGTCCTGGGAAGTTCCGTGGATGAGAGTGGGATGGGTTCAACAGGCAAGGGGAGCAGAGTTTGGTTGTTGAAGAATTTCAAGGTTAGGGGGGCGGGAGGGCGAAGTTTCCTGCAAACTTTGAAGTCGATCTCTGGATTGTTTTTTGGGTCGCGGTTGACGTGACGTTGAGTTTCCAGATGGTCGGGTTCGCCTTGAGCTTGTCAATGATTCGGATAATTCGCGTAGTTACATACATCCATCGTCAGTTGCAGCCGGCACTCCCAAATCGCAGTCTCGAGGTATTCGATGCTCTCTCGAGTTTCTCTATCGTCTGCACGGCAAGTGAACTATTGTCTCAAGTTAACAAGCAGTGCGGAGAACGTCCGTATACTCTGGAAAAGACAGCCGACGAATACGACACCAATTGAGTTTGAAACCGCATAAGCTCGGCCCCCAAACAAGAATATCAATACCCCCTACTGACCTACTCTCATAAATTCGAAGAATAGGAGCATATACTAAATCTCGCGCTCCATAATTCTCCAATTCGCGATCAATAACTCAAATTGGTTTAAGCTGGCCGCGCAGAGTGAACCCGAGAATTCGATTCGAACGCGGCACTGACCGACCGTTTCACATCCGAGACCTCTGCCGGTCTCCACACGCGGGCTGCCTGGCTCTGTTTCTGGCTCTGGCTCACTCTGGGGCTCCCGTCTGGCTCTGGCTTTGGTTCTGGTCCTGGTCCTGGGCCGCAGGGACCACCTCTGGACACCTGCTGACACTGATTGGAAGGTGACTGGACCGTTCACCCCTGCGATCCTTGGATTGAGGGAAAGTGCGTTTTCCGAAAATGGAATCGTCGACGGTCTCTGTCAGTGGCCAAGCTGTGGCCAGGAGTGGTCGCCCCTGGGACTGGTCAGTGGTTACTGGACTGTGCTATGCTATGTGGAACTGCGGATGAGGACCTCGTATTGCGTTCCTTGGATCGAGACGGGCAGGCGCACGGCTCAACGTCGCCGTTAACCTCACGTCGTCATCGTTAACTTGTTTTCAACTAGTCATCAGGATATAGTTTCCGTACCACGAGTGCATCGGAGGTCTGGATGAAGTCGAGGCTCGGGGTACAGCGAAGGTTTCCAAAGCGCCGGGTTGTCTGCCTTGTTTGTAGCTGGTTGTGCTGATCGATCTGGATCTGAGTTACAGCCTCCTAAACTATTTGAAGTATACACAGTACGGATCTCGCAAAGGTTGACGAAAAGGGAAGCATGGCGCGCGATCCCGAGATCAACATCTGGCACCCAAGATTTAAGGAATC